TCTCTGGCATTGCGCTGCTCAACACACCGGAAGCTCCAGGAAGTTTCATGGTGTGCATCTCAGTCACAGTTCAGAAATTGATGCCCGGCTGGACCATCGTGTGGCAAGGTCCTGGATTCTTGTGGCGCATCCCGCCCAGCCTTCTCGGATGGCATACTCGCACGTCCAGCTCAGGAGGTGCGTCGGGGCAGTGCTTTCTCAAGCATGATGGAATGCAAGACTTGTGCAGGTCATCGCGGAGCCTTCTCCAAATGCCACGCAGTCTCGTCACCTAGAGCCTTGTTGCGTGTGCGTGTTGTCATCATGTTGCTGACAGCTGACAGAGTGTGCTTATTGCCAGTGACCTTTTCAGTAGTCACTGGTAGCAAGGCCTGACGGCTTCAACTTCGGATCGTCTGCATACGTCTCTTGGGGAGACTTGGTTGCGAAGTGGTCTTTTGTTTTATTAGCACCTCTGTGTCGTGTAGCCAGCTGCAAAGCAAGCAAGGAGCCGTGCCTGTGACAGTTGGCGGTGGCCAATACAGGCTCGTCTTATGCATAGTTGCTAACCTTGGTGGACCACAGTGGAACCATGCTGTGCAGTCCTGCCATAATGAGCCGAAGCAGCGGGTCTTCTGACAGGCTGTGCTGGTGCGCTTCTCCGACTTTCGCTTGCGGTTTGACGGAGGACTTGTCCGTGAGGGATCCATGCGGTACTTGCATTGTTTGCATTTTGCAGGACTTTCGCGTGGACGCCGGGGTGTTCACTTTGGTTGGAATGAGTCCCTTCAACCAGGTCTGGACTCTGGAAAGTACTGTATCAAGATTAGTGTGCGAACTGGCCTGAGATTACGAAGACGTTTCTGTGGTTGGAGGACCGCACATGCATCGCTGGCGAGGCTGCGGCGCCTCATATTCATGCATGATTTTTTGCTTCCCGACTCTCCAATCATGGTGTGCAGCATGAGATCATATGGGATCCATGTTTACAGAAGCTGTTTTGGGATGCACGGTGTGCCGCGTACCAGAAGGAATGAATGCGGCCTCTTACAATTGTGTCCCAGCTTGGACTGTCTGTCAAGCAGATGACCGTAAAGGCTAGCTAGCCGTCAGGCGTCGGGCTCGCTACAGGCAGTAGGAAACACAAGTTTCAGATTGCTTGGGGCAAAGAATGCCAGAGACCTCCACACGCCTTGAGGCCTCTCAAATCTGTTTTCACAGTTACATCTTCTCCGAGCAGCTTTCACAATCTTGCAGTTGCAGCCAACGTGCAACATCTAACAATCTTGTATGCCATATTAAAGAGAGGAAAGTGTGAGGCAGATGGACATTAAGAGGTTTGCTGAAGCTCGTGCAGACGAAAAGGACATATCATGAACATACCCAAAGAAGTGTAGCCCTACGTATGTGTTGGTGTGCACGGCTGCCGATTTTCGCATCTGTATCAGAAGCTTTCGAGCTTCATAACATGTGCCTTGTGCCAGGTGTGCTTTGCTGGTGGCTTCTCGGGACATCAATTGTCCGCCAATGACAGGCTCGGCTATTGCGTAACAAGGCAAACTTGCATCCGAGCTCTGACAAGGCAACCTTGCATAAGAGTAGGATGTGTTGGAGGTTTTTCAGAATTGTAGACAGCTACCAGAAGTGTGGCGATCAAACATGACAGTGCTGCATCATTGGCCTGCCTTGGTTGGCAGTCTTCTGGTGATGGACAGCTGCGGCAAGCCAGGGCCAGTAGCTGAAATCACAAACCAGAGTTGAGGAGGGCATCATCACAGACGTATGCTTCGAAGTTTCGTTGTCCGAGGTCAAACTGGATTGAGACGGGCGTGCCGATCAACCGCGAGAACTCCAGCGTGCAGGTATCACCAGGCTTGGAGACCCAGTGAGATTGCCTCAGCAACTTTCTATATTTCATCTTTTTAAAAAGAGAAGAGCACAGGCTGGTTCTTTGAGCGCACCACCGTCCAAGGAGGAGTCTACAGGCAACGTCGCTGGGTGAGATGACGTTTAGGGATGCATAACTCTTTGCTGCGCAGGCTCTGTTGGTGCGGGGACTTGCAGCAATGCAGCACATCAGAGCAATTCAGGCCTGACACTTTTTGTAATGGTAAGGTTAGCAGCATTTAGCAGCTGTTTTTCTTGCGAGGGCTCCTCGTTGTGTGAGGTTCGATGTTGGCGGGCTGTTCTTGCTCGGTCCATCTCCACTAGAGCAGCACAGGACGCGGGCGAACAGAAACTGTAAACCAATTTTCATTGAACGTGGTGTGAGCACTGGGCAGTGGGACATAGTAAGATGAAGCTGCCATTGCAGGACCTGCATCAGTGGACAGTCCTGTCCGATGAGTGATTTGCAGGGCTTTGCAATGCCACTGGAGAGCCAGGCAGCTTGAAGAAACGGAGATAAGGGTTGAAAATTAGCTAGTGGCAATTTGCCAGGTGGTTGTCTTGGACACCTGTGGCCTGAGCGCAGCCCTGCCGCTTTCCACGCCCGTCCCCGCTGCATTGGATGGCAGCTTCCTGGCATCTCGACCTTGCTAACTGGTAGACTTGTTTATTCATGTTTATCCCTTTTTTGGTCAACGAAGCTGCTGCCCATGTGCGAGCCCTAGAAGGCTTCAAGATGCAGATTTCTTGATGAAAGTGTTTTATTTGGTTTCAGTTGATGTTTGAGGCCGCGACCAGTTCGTTGCCAAGCTGCTGGCCCACCATGCAAGCTGGTAGCAGCCGACAATGTCGAGCTGCAGGCTGCTTCATGTGTTCCTTTTCATCCCAGCTTCCCGTTCTGTGCCTTGTTAACTCAGGTGGTCAGTACCGACTTTGCTGGTGCAGTGGCACTTTGAGGCCCGTATCGCTTGCGCGTGTTTTTTTTGGAATCCCGAAAACATAGCGAAAGCCGCAGGAATGAGACGATTCCAACCAATGCTACGACAACATGGACCGATGACCCTTCCACTTGGGGAACCTCATGCATGCGTGGTGAAGACTTTGTCATTGACGTTGGTAACTTCATGGTGATCGGCCCATCGCCGGTTTCCCAGCAAATAACCTGCGTCGCTGGGTGGACATGTGCTGTGGAAATATCTGGCACTGGTGTGCGTGACGCTGATCG